TGATGATATGATGGTAATGTTATTGTTAGACAGTATATAAGAATAGTAGTACAGTATATATATATATATATAGTATACAATATAACATAATATATATTTATATAGATAGTACTTATACCAATATAATAGCAGTATATAGTAATAGTACACCCACAGATTGTAGACTGCAGCACAGCAGGGGGCGTGGACCTATAGTTGGGCAAATATCTATCTATCTATCTATCCATCCATCCACTCATCTATACGTCCGTCCATCTATCTATCTGTCTATCTATCCTATCTATCCATCCATCCATACGTCCATCTATCTATCTATCCATACGTCTATCTATCTATACGTCCATCTATCTATCCATACGTCTATCTATCCATTCGTCTATCTATCTATCTATCTATCTATCTATCTATCTAACACTTTTCAGTGATTGAGAACTGTGAGGAACATGCTGCATGAACCTCACCGCCAGATGTCGCCAGCCTGTTTTTGATGACGTCACTCCTGTCGAAGCTAAAAGCCCATAGAGAACATTGAGTCTTCGCCGGGTGCGGTGGCGCGCGCCTGTAATCCAAGTCACTGGGAGGCTGAGGCTGGCGGATCGTTTGAGCTCAGGAGCTCTGAGCTGCAGCGGACTATGCCGATCGGGTGTCCGCACTAAGTTCGGTATCGATATGGTGCTCCTGGGGGAGCCCGGGACCACCAGGTCGTCTAAGGAGGGGTGCACCGGCCCAGGTCGGAGACGGAGCAGGTCAAAGCCCCCGTGCCGCTCAGTAGTGGGATCGCGCCTGTGAATAGACGCTGTAGTGCAGCCTGAGTAATACAGCGAAACCCAGTTTCCTTTTGGGCCATCTTTCTCAACCTTTTCACATCAACGAAGAACCGCGAACAACTTCGAGTGTTAATGTGACAAACTGCTCTATTATCGTTTCTTCATGTTCCTGTTTTCACGGAGAACGCGCAGACAGCATGGTCCTCCACACTGCCTCCTTCTGGAGGAGAGGAGCAACGACCTCCAAACACACCAGTCAAGTGCAGCCGTGAAACAGAAACCTCAAACAAATCCGATCAGTTCAAGAGGCGAAGAATCTGATTTTCTACACTAACATTTCGAGAATATCTTTGTAGCATCTCTAACATCAATCCTGTTTTAATAATATATATTTTCTGTGGAGCTGATGTGATGTACAGATGTTTCCTAGATGACGTCAGACGTGAAGTGAACTACTTTTTTTTCAGTCGTTTTTTCGCCATGTATTTTGTGAAGCACTTTGTAAACTTGTTTAGATACGTGCTATACAAATAAAGTTATTATTATTAATAATATGGTTTAAGGGTTATAGACTTTAGGTCAGGGCTACGGTAAGGCATTTCGTTTTGATGGTTAGGGTAAGGGGTTGGGTAATTATTTAATTCGTTATTAATTAGCATTAGTTAATGAGTGTCCTCACAAGTATAAAGACAAGAATATGTATGTGTATATATATATATGTGTGTGTTTCGAGGAGCAAAATAAAAACAGATGATAAGAAACATTTTCTATAACTACAGTGAGAAGTGTGAGTGAATAAAACTAATGCATCATGTGAGAATATTAAGTGTTTCTATCTTTATAGGCTCTACAGTTGTTCCCACCTGTTCCTCTTTGGGCCGTCTGCTCGATGTCATTGGTTAGCGCAGCCCGCGTCTCCTCTGTGATTGGTCCGGCCGCCTGTCACTCAGACGGTCGCCGGGGTCATTTCAGTCCATCTGACAGCTGGCCCCTCCCCCGTGTCAGAGTGGGTACCTGAAGTTACGGAGCGGGATCATGGCGGGACGTCTTCTTCACCGAGCCTGGACAACAACACTGCGGCTCAGGAGCAGCGTGGCTGTCAGACCGATACACCGAGCCGCTGCTCTGGCCTCAGAGAGAGGTACGAGTCGGGGAAAGCAATATGTGACACCGTCAGACAGGAGCGGAGAGCGGAGAGAAAGAGAAAGTGACCCGGGTCACAAGTGAAGCAGGTTATACGAGGTGACAGTATGGCTGAACGCATCAGTATTCTTAGTTTACTGTAGTCTGCAGAGTTTACACGCTTTCTCATGCACTGAGTCTGACTTGTAGCTGCCCAACATGTGCTGTAGTTAATAAAGAGGGTAAAGAACATTGAATTGTGTCAGATAATATGAATTCACAGTGAAATCAAAGTTGTTTGTAGTGTGTGTGTAGTGTCTTTATGTGCTGTGAGATTGTTATATGTCAGAGTGTTCCCTCGTGTGAGACTATGATATCCAGTAATGAAGGTCATTTGGACTAAACTTGAGCAGAGGCCTTCTTTTATTGACCCACCTCCTTTGGTTTGATGCCAGTATCCTGATAGGGAACAGTGTGCATGTGGGTGGCGTCCATTGCAGACGTGCAGTTTTACTGACATTCGACTGCAGGGACAATCCAACTGTAAAAATGCACCAAAGCACATCTTTATATTGTGTATTGATGAAAACCTCTCCCGTGTTTGTTTCTCAGGGATACCAACAGATGATGAGCAGGCCACTGGACTGGAGCGACGCATCTTGATGGCCTTAAAAGTGGGAAAGGTAGGCAGCTATTCACACTCACACACAAGTGCAGTGTTTAATCTGACATGTGCTAACCATCTTCAAATCTAAATGACAGGATCCCTACAGTATACTGAAGCCAAAAAACTACCCAGGCACCAAAGAAGACCCTCAGATCGTGCCATGCACTGGAAACAAGAGGCTGGTGGGCTGTATTTGTAAGTTATGTATATTTAACACGAACATGTCACTCACTGGTATATCTCCACCAAGGATCAACAGTCCCCTTATGAAACTAGATTTTTATTTGGATCTGCACCAAATAAATATCAGTCCCTTAAACATGTCTGATTTTGTGAAATCAAGGAAAACTTTGAAAAAGAAAGTGGAAAAAGAAATTCCTGGATCCACACCAACGTTGAATGTTTTTTGGGGTTTACTCCACAAAATTTCAAGGAAATCGGATGAGTCGTTTTTGCATACTCCTGCTAAGAAACTGACATTTTTTCCCTCATGTCTATATTACAAACCAGGTGTTTTGTATTTTCTGCAGGCGAGGAAGACAACACTGCGATTGTGTGGTTCTGGGTTCACGAGGGAATTCCCCAGCGCTGTCCTTCCTGTGGCACCCACTATAAGCTGATTCAGGAGGACTTGCCTCATTGAAACTTAAAATGCAGGGACAACACAGACCTGTCAATATTTGCCTTCTTCATGGCCATATACTGCAAAATGTGCATAAAATTTAACATATACAGTTGATCATTAAAATATAAAGCTGAAGTGAATTGTCTGGATAGAAATCTGTACAATTATTGATATTTCATACAGTGAATGATTCATTGTCAGTGATCATAGTAGAATTCCATAGTAAAGCAAATTTGCGACTTGCTGGAGTAATTCTCTTTAAGATTTTATGCCTTTCCAAAGTCTAAGTTGGTACACTACACTGCATTTAAAAGGTTAATTGTTCTGAGGTACAATTATTCTTAAACATATTTCCCGTATAACTTCCCTAAGTTATAATAAATTATCAAATATAATCACCTGAAGTCAGTATGTGAAAATGCCTTAGAACAATATTTTATCCCCAAAGTAACTTATTTATTACAAAAGCTTTGCTTTGTTTTTTTATTTGTGGATTGTTTACGGCTTACAGCCAAGAAATCACACTGTATCTAAAGCAAACACTTTGCAATGCTCTCAATCAAATGTCACAATAGAACCTAAAACATAAAGAGAGTTAGTTTACATTGTCTGGGCTCAAACATCAAATGTGGACACAACATCATGAACTCCTGTAAAATACAGTCTGAGCAGTTACTACACAGTGGAGATTAAAATGTTTTTATGTGTGTATTATTACTGATTTAAATCTGGTAATTCTGAGGCCAGCGTTTGTATTTCATGTTTCTGAAATATTTGCGCAACATTAAAAACAAAACAGATGGATCTCTGTGTTACATACATTTTAAGCTTCAGAAAGGTAGTGCTGCTTCATCTAATAATATTTTACAGGCGTTTATGTTGCGGTCTTCATGCCCTGTAAAGTAAATCCCAGTAGTTTGCTTCATCATACTCCTCGTATCCAAACATGAATAAAAGCATATCTACAAGAGCAGTATCAAATGTGATTCAACTTGTAATAGGGCGACAAATACTGTGACGGCATGAAAAAAACAAAAAACTGGAAAATCAAACTCAACATTAATGTGTAATTCTCAATATCCAACTCTAAATCATTTCTAGTGTCATGTGGCCTCATTCCAACCAGTGTTCAAGTCTGTAAAACAAGTCAGAAAATGTGGATGCCATCAACAGTTTTGACATGGAGTTCTAGGCATTTCTGTGTAATTTTAGGCAAGATTAAAGCCTTGGTTGTGGTCTATAGCCTGCAGGAGCTTCTTTTTGAGTGTTTCTAGACTCGTGTACTTGGGCAGGTCCAGCAGGTTGAAGCAGGTGTGGGCCACAGGTAAATAGTTCTCCCCTCCACCGGTGGGCTGGATCACAAGCTTCAGGCTTTTCATGCCCAAGATGGGTATACGGTCACTTCCTGTGAGGAACACTGGTAAAGACGAGAGACGTTTCTGTGAGCAGTTGAACATAAATGAGTAAATACACAGCTTAGCTTATTAAAATGGGTGTCATCACTTACAGAGGAACTGTTTTTTCTTCTCTAAAGTCAGACTGTGGAACACCTCCCAGAAGAGTCTGATGGTGGGATGGTCTGCCCAGTACTCCCCTTTGTATTCAGTAGTCTGAAGAGTGGAGAAAATATTATTTGTACTATTAAAACTTATTAACCCTACTTGAGGTGAAATATTTTGCTTCATCAGTGTCTGCATGACAACCTTTTCCAGCTCTGTCCAGTCATAGTTGGTGTTGCCAATGACCATGGCTTGTAGTTCGTTTGGCTGGAACAGCTCCAAGACTTTTCCACCGCACACTTTGTGAAAGCCTGCATAGAAGCACTCAAACAGAGGGGCCACGGATGTGTTGAAAACGTAGTCAACATAGGCGTTGACAAAGTCCTGCCTGGAAGACAAAAAGAAATTAATATGAAAGTAAAGTGATATTTAGAAACATGTAAAATGCAGACAGAAATATGACCTAATAGGAAAAAGAGGATGAAGAAACGTATTTTCAGAATGAGTTCAAGCTATTTACAGGTTAATGATTTAGAACACTACCACAGAAAGCCATGTCAGTGTCTGAAAGGAATACTTCAACATTTTGGAAAATGCCAGGCTTCCTGAAACATGTTTTTACACTTCAGTCTAAACCTGATCATGACTTGTTCTGTGTTATGTTTCCATTTGAATTGAAAATGTTTCCGACCTCCACCAGTGCCCGCAGCTCTGCCTCAATTTGTTAACAGAACGATCTGGACACGTTCACACACACACACACGTCATTGGATTTGAAAACGAGTTTGCAGCAACACTAATTGTTTTAATCAATGAGCTCTAGAGGTGCTGTTAGGTGGATTTGTTTACCTCTGCACAGAGCCAGGCTAGCTGTCCCCCTTGTTTCCTTTCCTTCTGCTAAGCTAAGCAGCTACTGAGTGCAGCTACATTCTTACTGCTGAGCCATCAGAGTGGTATCAATTTTCCAATCTAACAGGAAAGCAAATAAATGTGTAAAGCTATTAATTTCAACAACAGTTGCTCTTGGTTAACGGGACAAGCAAGAAGGTTTTACCTGTTTGATTTATTTACATTGATGTCTTCGCCATTCGGTACGAGTTCCAACACCTCTGTGGCACCATAGTTGTCCTCAGTGATCTGACCAAACAGACAGTTTTAGTGATTTGCACATAACAACTATTTAATTTATACTTTAAGAAAACAATGTTTGACTATTATCTTACTGTGAAGTTCAAACAGAACGTTTCCTCGAGGTCATCTTCTGTGTAGTCCAGTAAGTGTTGTAGACTCCTGTTTTTACAGTTTGACACAAACAAAAAGAACAATATATTATTAATATATAATATATTATAATATCAGTTTATTAGTCAATGTTGAGCACTGTGTGGTACTGTACAGTAATCACAACATTGAACGTTTCAACTTTAGATGCCCCCTAAAAGAACCAAATCAAAATAAAGTGACATCCATAAACATGTTAAATAGAAAAAACCTCAGATGACTGTTCCTTGATCTGACCTTCCCACATCTGGCATTAGCTCTTTCAGGTCGTCAAGTGCCGGCTTCTTCTTCAGAAGCTTCTTGTAAAGGGCCACGGGGAAGTTGAGCTCCACTATCGTGAGATTGTAGATGGCCAGACCGCAGATGACCCCGATGAGGTTGAACAGGTCAATGTCTTCAAAGGTCTGCGAGGGACAGATGGTGAATTAGAAGGGGCAGTTTCTCAATGATTATATTCAGGTGTTAGCGGCTTTACTGTAAAAGATATGGGCAAATTCAAATACAACCACTTCAGTCTCATTTCAGAGTGCACTTAAAAAACATTGTTATATATTACACAAAGGTGAATCATGCAGCAGAAGTACCTTATTTGAAAACCAGATGAGCCTGGACTCCTCGTAGTAACGAAACATGCCATATTTGGGATCCAGCAGCTCTTTCATGATCAAGAGGAAGAACTCCTTTCTCACGCCTCCTGCATCCACCGCCTCTTCTCCTACAAAGATCACCTGCCATGGATGTTGCAAACATTAGTAGAGCGACAGTGCTTTTCATCGAATTGTATATATCTTAGTAGCAGAGCAGTGTAAGCCACATAATATTTGAAGAAAACAGACATTCGTTCATGTCAGATTTATTTAAATCATGACATAAATCCATAAATTACAAAGAGCTGTATATAATCACTACAATTTCTGTAACCAAACCCATAAACCAATTTTTTTCTGCTGAACCCCACTGTGCCTCCCAGTATTACATTCTAAAGGTTGTTTTTGAATTTCAGGGTAGAGGCACTTCAGCCAAAACTTATGGTTGAGGTGACACTTCAAAGGCTCCATAGAGCTCAGGGGAACTTCAGTCAATTACAAATCCGTCACTCTGTGCAGCACCTTTCACAGACTACACAGCTTTTTCATCCTTTGTTACTGAAGACATTAGTAATCCTTGCTGTCACCTTGAGCGGTTTCTTGTAGTCAACATTCTTGGACTTCCCGAGGACTTCCATGGTGTCTCCGACTATATTTTCCCTCCGGACGATGAGGATGAGGCACGGGTTGACAGATTCCACTGCTGGCAGGAACATAGAGCTGAAATTTTGCATCTGTGCCTGGTCCACAGCTATCTATCAATGCAGCGAGGGAGTGATGGATGATAAGAACATTTTAATGTTTTCACAGATACTATAAAGCAGTTGGTATGGTCCCAAATTATGTGACTGCACTTGATTAAGCTCCTTTACAAAGAATGAAACCAGATCGATTGAAGGGGAAAAGCCCACACATGAAGGTAGAATTAGATTTTCTGTATATTACCTGCATCTGTATGACAGCATCAGTCTGAAGCAGAGTGGTCTTGGCTTGGGCATCAAACACAAAGGGATACCTGCACAGAGTCACCACACCATCATGGCCCTGAGGATGCAGACACATAAAAAATAGATCATACCTATATCTACACAAAGACAAATCTCATTAAGTGAATCGTGGTGAATCTGCAGCAGACTCACCATTGGGTACATCTGCCTCTGAATCCATGTGACGTAGTCGTTTCTGATGTCTATCAGGTCGTCCAGCTCATGGATGTAGAATTTGTCGTACTGAATGATGTGTCCGGCCCGTTCACTCACCTGAAGCATCAGGAAAATGGATCTTATCAACTGTTTGCCACAGTCCTGCATCATTTAATGAAGGAATTTGACATGTGACATGGATTATTTTGCATCTCTCACCACATGCAGGATCTCCAGGAGTCGGAGGGACGTGTCCAGGAAACAGGTAAAGATTCTCTGCTCGACTGAAGGAATGCCCACCTTGTGCATCTGAAGGAGATACACCACCACCTCCTTGTACACCTCGACCAGCCGCTGGAAGACTCTGGACTCAAACCCGGACCACCAGTTTCCTGATGAGAACAGAAGACAAAATGTTTTGTGTAAAAAATCTTAAAAGCAAAACTGGACAGAGAAACTTGTGCCTCATGTGTTACATTGAAAAACATTTTCATCCTACCTAGCACCTTAAGTGGAGCCTCCTTCAGGCTGAGGAGCGATTTGGCAAATGGGATGGAAATGGTCACATAATTGTTTCGGTCAATGAAGAGAGGGCATTCTGGAAGAGTGATGTAGAGTCTCAGGGCTTCGATATCCGGAGGAGAGTTGCTCAGTCTGGGAATTAAGTGCTTTTCTAGACTAGCAGCAATCTGAGGGAGATATTAGACAGATTTACTAAAACTTACTGTAAGTTCAAATTATGTTACTTCAAACAGACTGGGCTGGTGCTAGATGGAAACTAATTCATATTCACTCTGCAAATAAAACATGACTAAGAGTGAAGCCTTTGTCAGTGAAGGGGTCAGAGTAAGACCACCTTTGTCTTCAGTCTTAAAAGTGGAATAAACTCTAATAACCTCTACAAATGTGTTTACTTGTTGATTCAGTTTTAAGGCGTGACAGTGGGTGTTTATAAAAAGGTAACTGTCAGGTTACAGGGCCAAGATCTCTGTGATACTTCAATGAAAGTTACACATTATGTCCAACATTATTTAAGCATCTTACAAAAAAGAAATGCTTTTGGAGGGCTGTAGAAAAAAAAAAACATATGAAAGTCAATGAGGCACAGAAACACACATTTCAGATGGTCGGTAATGTGACCTAAAATAAGTGAGGAGGCATAATAAGTTGTTCGTAATATTCATTAGAATGTTTCAGAATTTACACTTAGGGTGCGATTGATATATACAGTATGTTGATAAGTTGTTTGGTCCATGAATGCCAGAAGATGGAAAATTGATCTGTGTTTCCCAAAC